GCGGTTCGGACAAGCAGGCCTGATACAGATGACTTACGAAAGATCGGTAAGGCTCAGACCATAGGATCGCGGCTGCAGTCTGAAAACCCGAATCGGCATCCTTCCCCATGAAGTGACAGATTGACGGCCGGAAACTGAAAGTGGGGGAACTAAATAATAACAACAACAACAATAATAATAATAATAATAGCAGAAAGAAAAAGTGGCGCTTCAAATTTTGGCCCACCGTATCTGACCTGCAGTACAGCTGCTAGGCCCTACCGAGCGGAACCTAGACATTCAACCCGGTACAGGTGATATTCGAAGGGTTATGCCCGCCTAGACTGCAATACCACCGCTCGAGTTCGAAACCCATGCCAGTCAAGGAAATAATGATAACAACAAACAGTTAAAAATAACAAAGAAATTTGACGCAACGATAACTAGGATTCAAAGACCATCAGATTCCCCCTGAACTAAAGCTCGTAGTCCAACCACATTAATTAGCCCTCCGATTTTCTATTTTTCTTTTCTTGTTGCTTTTTGTTTAGCTTTCTGTTCTCTTGACTGTTGTCAGTATCATGCACCTGACCCATAACCTGTACAGGGACGCTTCGCGCGCAGTTGAAAAGACTGAGCCCTCCCTCTCACTTTCGCGTCCCAAGGCGAACCCGGCGGCTACCACGGTCACAGGCCGGTAGTGCTCTGCTGTACAACAGGGCGCCGAGTCTGCGTGGACCAATGGAAGTCCTGTGGCGCACCCTTTTTGCTGAGGGCTACGCCACCGGGACCGGTCCGCGCCGGGAACAGCCCAGGTACCAGACCTATAGCACGAGGTGAGCCTAGGGAGCAGCAGGGCGGAACAAGGAGCTGACACCTAGCGAGGACCTAGTACACAAAGGAGGGTCGGGACACCGTGCCCTCCGATAGCGTGTGTCACCCTCAGGGATACTCTATTGCTCGGAAGGTCCGAGGGTCGGTACTTAGCCGTGGCTGTGACGTTCAGGGTTGTCACGGGGAAAACACTCAAGTGTTGGTAGGTCGGTATCATACTCAGTAGAGGCGGACGTACCGGGTACTCGGGGCCGAGTAGAAGAAGATAAAAGTTGGCATTTTTAGACACTTGGTACCCGGCCAAATCCCAGCGTGTCGTAGTTTTATCCGCCATGACACTAACCCAATCTACCCCTCGACCCTTTTCGGTCGGAGGGTATCACTACTAATCCTAACCATCACCGCGCGCGTCATAACAACGCAGGCGCATATTCTCGAAATTTTCCTCACCGACTTGCCCCCGGCTTTAATGGCCGAGGAAATCGTTATCAAAGTGTCGCGAGAAAACGCGTACACCTTTAAGTTCAGACTGACTTCATTATGGTGGTCGATGCAATCGATGTGTCGACTGTAAAAAATGGCCAAATACCCTTGTAAGGGTATTTGGTCCGACAGTATCCCAGACCCCATTAAGCGACGTCCCCGTCGCCCGGAGAACTATATGCAAACAACAGATGTTTTCCGACAAGCAATTCGTTAAATCCGGATCCTGGAATGAAATGTGGTTCAAGATTGACGTTGTCAATCCACTTTTCATTATTACTGACGGGATTTTAACCCGGGTCTCCCACATAAAATAAATTCAATGACTTGAAGTGAGGATACTTGATCCGTACTAGAGTACATGAAATAGTCAAGTATGAAAGCGCTCCTTTCCTTCCCCACACCCTTAGTCTTTGGCCCGAGTATTCGTTGGTTGTTTTTAAGGGTCGGTGTCCGCGTGCGAATTCAACCCGTCAAACGAGGGTCCTAACCGAGACCTTGGGTGTTCAAATATTGATATCACAATCCAAAGTTGCCTGTCGTCCTGCCCGAAGCCTAATACAGGAGGACAACGGTCTCCATCATGACCCACCACAGTCCTGCTGATCAGGCCGGAGCTGCGGCCCACCGCGTTGTTGATTATCGCTGGTTACCCTCGTTGGTTGTGCAACGATGGGATATTCATCCTATCTTTTCAAAAATTCATAGATTTCAAGACTAATCTCGACCCCTTCGACATTCACCTGAATAGATCCTTTCATTGGGGTGGCCACCCCTCTAGTTTCTCTTCGAGGCCATAGTCGAAGGGTCCACTGCCTGGTTACGCTAGGTCAGCAGTCCATGCTGGGAGTTACGTCCCAACGATGTCAATTTTCCACCATAGGCTTGGTAATTTATGCCCTCAGGTTAACCCTTGAAATGAATGAACGATGCTTCTTTTTAAAAAATAAATAAAGTAGATAAGATTTCAAAAAACCAATTGAGCTAGCGTCAGATTGTCATTCAGGGTTGTACCCTCCAAGTCTTTGATCATAACTCGGTGAGGCACGCACCTCCGGGTCATTTTGCATATAAAAATCAATATTTGAAATGAAATAAATAGTTGTTGACTCTTTGCTTGTTTGAAACCACCAAAACAAACATCCCATTCAAAAGAAAATGATTGCAAAAATGTTTTAACTCATTGAAAAAGTTTGTTCATGTTGTAGCATGGTTTCTCAAACATGTACATATAATCAATCCTTCCAACATTTTTGTCATACAGCCTTTCACTGACTTTCACACAATGTACTGATCTGCCCGTTCCTCTACCACCATATGTAGGCCTCGGATGAGTCTTATAGTGATAGACAAAGGGAGATACTGACTCACAAAAGACTCAAACCATAGACAAGGATTCACTGACAATGTGAAAAGTGTTTGTGGTCACCAGCTCATCCCCTTTGGATACATATATAAATACGAAGTATGCTACAATGAGTCAGACTCGCGACTCATCTCTCTCATCCTCATATTTATCCTCAAATGTCCATGCACTTTTCTTATACTATCGTCTATTCAAAACCTTTATCCTATCAAAATTCAAGGAAAAGAAACTTGTTATTTTTTCATACTGCACTCTACTTATCTATTTTCTCTCTTACCCAACAAAACACCTCAATTTATCTAGAAGTTTATACATCTATTTGTCTTTAATCTTAAGAAAGTGATGGCCAGCCTCCATATCCTATCGAGCTTCACTCTGCCACCCTCGGATCATCTGTCAAGTGATGGCCATCAATGTTTCTCGTAATGAAACTTAGCCATTCCCAACTCAATGTACCTTGCTAGTACCTCGCGATCATCCCTGAAATGTCATTCTTCCGTGCAAGGAAGCATCCACTTTTGGTCTTATTGCTTCTGGTCTTCCTCTTGTGACGCTCAGTTGAGGTTTCTGCCTGATTTCCTGCACCTTCTAATGTCTCAATGCCAGACAACCCCTTCCTCTTGGTTCCTTCGTACTAAAGTAAGATCAAATATTCACTTTCCCCTTTCCTTACAAAGACCCCTTTCCACCTTGCTCTCTTGCCTTTCCTTTGCCTCTCCTCTCCTTTGGGATGAACCCTCACATTCCATCCTTATCTCTTTCCACCTTCTCCTCTTCCATTGCCTTATCTTTTTCCTCTCTGACCCTTTTCTCACCCTCTCTCACTTCAACCCCCTTTTCTTTCATTCTCAACTAGTTTTCTCACTTCAGTTTTTCTTTGGCTCTTGAAGGCCCACTCTCTTACTGAGGTCCCCTTTTTGCCACTTTTTGCTTCCTCTTCTTGGTCATGGGTATACTAGGGGAACATCTACTCTTCACAATTTTTAGGATATATCAACTGCTTGAATGCTTTTGGACTTGTTTTGGGATAAGTGAAGACGCGACAGGTCGACAACCCTTTTGCAGTCCGGGCCTTGAACCCTGGACCTACCCCCGCAAAACCTCCTTTCCTAGGACCGTAGAACACGCTTTCGAGAAGCCGATTATTTTTCGATTTCGATGTAGTTACTTGAATGAATTTGGATGGTTTTTCGAGGAAGTGCGGATGCGGCAGTGGAGCAGTGGAATAAAAAATATTTTTATAGTTTTTTTAGTTCTTCTAGAAGCCTACCAGAGATGTTCTGGGTCGGATAGTTGTCTAGTTTCATTCATAGGTTACAGACGTAGGCAAGACTTTCTTTTTTCAACAGTTCTTTCTTATTTCCTATATAAAAAGAGAGAGACTGTTTTTCCGACCAACAACGACCCCTGATGAAGCTGGTCCCGTCGGCCAGCCGAAACCGGTAGGGTCATCCGAGGTACATTCGTCCTGGATATTTACGATATTTTAACAACGACGAATGAAGTCGCGTTCGGTTTAATGTCTATCGTCTTGTCTATCACTCTCCTTCTTCCTTCTGACTGCTGATCTCCTTTGTCACGTCTTGTGTCATGATGCTATCTTTCATGTTGTGCTCATCATTGCAAAGCTAAGCTAACGAAGTTGATTATTACAATTTTTCTTCACGAAGTAACCAGTATAGGAATAATACTATAACTTCGTGGCTTCGTAATTTCGGCTTACATTAAAATATGGCGTCCAACCCGAATGTTAGCTACGTGCGCACATGCTATAACTGTGGACAAGCAGGTCATTATGCACGATTCTGTCCTCATCCGCCACGTAATCCACCTCCTTTTGTTCTTCCTCCCCCTGCCAATCCTAGCACGACGATTGTCCCTGTCCAAACTTCCACGTCAGTCCCTAGTCAGTCGTATTATGGTAACAATAACAACTATCAGTATCATCTTGGTTCTGGGTGACATAATAATATGCGAAGATTCGAGGTGATTGAGGAGACTGTGGCGACCATCAAGACTCGTCACGACGCCGAGATCGCCAAAGAAAGAATCAAGAAGGAGAAAGAAGAGAAACGAATGAAGGAAAAGGAAGAAGAAGACATGAGGGTTCAACGAGTCAAAGACAGAGAGGAACTCCAGAAGATGATTGGTGATACCATAAATAGAAGACTGGGGGGAACCGGAGTCAACGGTATGCCTGCCAAGAAGAGCGAAGCTAGCGAACTTGACAAACTGCGCGCAAAGGTTGCTGATTTGAAACGAGCCAGCACGTCTTCAGCTAGAACCGGGATGAGCGAAATCGAGAAACTTCGTGTCGAGATTGCCGAGCTGAAACAAGCGTAAGTGTTGTCACGACCTACCGGCTATATTGCCGAAGCTGATGGTCGAGCTTAGGCCGAGAAGGAGGAGGCTTGAAAAAGTATACAAGAATCGTACGAGAAGAGGATGACGGTATTGGAAGAACAGATAGTTACCTTGAGAAGGCCGAAGGATGATGCAGTGAGCGAGGCTGACGCATGGAAGTTAGAAGCACAGAGGCCCGACAACAAGAGGGGCAACATCACTATTGGAGTGACACCGACAACCCAGGCTAGGGTACGATAAAAAATCGCTCCTGTACCAACCTCCGCTCCAAGGAAGAAGATGGCGGCTGAAGATTATCATGCGTTCGCTCTGCAGCATGAAGAGGAGGTTAACCTTTTGCAGGATATGCGTGCCAAAGAGGTGGAGCGAAGGAAGGAAGCGGAGCTGGAAGCCGAACAGTTGAAAGAAAAACTCGATAGATTGGAGATTGAGAGGGCAGAGAAGATGAAGACGACTGGTACTTGTTTACGAGCTCGCCTGGAAGTTGTCATTGACGACACCCCTGGCCCTTCATTCAGGGGCAAGAAGAAGGCTACGACGACGAAGAACGATAATGCGACAAAGATTGATAAACTGAAGAACGACAAGGAGGTTTTTGTTAAGTCCAACCATCTCGATTTGAGACCTTTGAAGAAAGATGCAGTGCAAGCTATCTGTGAGAAGGAGGGAGTCCAGTACACACCACTGGACAAGGCGAAGGAGGATATTGTGAAAGCGAGATTAGCAAGGGCATTTGGTACCAGTATCGAAGAGATAACCAGGCAGAATGGGGTCGGGATTGAAGAAATTTCTGACGACAATACCGCGGTAAGTACCGACTTAGGTAAGACCGCCGACGGTGAAGACGAGGTTTCTTAGTGTCTGTTCCGGACGCGGCTTGGCTTTGGAATTTAGCACAACGATGTAGTGTTGCTCGAAGTACAACTAGTGATTCCCTCAGATGCAAGAAGCTGAATACGATTTTTTGTTTACTTGTGTTGGAATTGATTGTATGAGGACAGATTCCCTGGGCTAGTAAATTCATTACATCTGTGTCGTTGTTGTTGACTGGCAGTTTCGAGTTTTTGGAAGGAAGAGGTCCGTTGATTTATGCTCTTGTAACACCATGGTGTCGGCATGTTTATATAGGTAGCACCACTGGGGACATACATACAAGGTGGAGTGAGCACGTCTACAGAGTGTGCGATGCTGAACTAGTTAATAAGGGAAGAAGGAATGAGAGACTCTACAAGTGGCTCAGGAGATGTGGAGTTGACCGTTATGTAGCGATTTCACTATTTTGTTCGTCTAATGAAGACTTGGCTACCAACGAGAAATTTTTCATTCGAACTGTTGGATCTGGACTGAACACACGGGATAGATATTGTCGCACGAAACGAAGGAGAAAAGGTTTGAAAGAATGAGAGAGAAGAGAAGAAACGGGGTTGAAGTTGTTAAACAACTACCTATATCAATTGTTAGTTTTCATTCCAGTATCGGGATCGTTAGTACTAGTCTATTAAGGATTTTAGATCACTGTAGCAAGAATGGAAAAAATACTTATTCCATTGTTTGTCGAGGAGGGTCTCGTCTTGCATATCCATTGGAATAAATGGAAAAATTACAAAAACAATTGCTATATTTTGGTGCGTTATTTTGAATTTTTAACGAATTTAATTGATAATTATGAAAATAATTTACATCGTGATTTCCGAATTACTTTGAAAAAAAAAAAGAAATGTTGGAAAAGAAAAAGGTTAAATTCGAGAAAAATAAAACGAAATTTGGAAAAGAAATTCGAGAATTTTCAAAACGAAAAGAAAGTTGAATTCAGATTTAAAAGTTGATTTGGTTCTTTTTCAGAGTTTAATTTTTTAAGTAATTAAAATATTTGCAAGATTTTTTTTTTTGAATTTCAAAACGAAAATGCAATTTTTGGGTGGAATAAATGAAATTTTAGGGTATTTCCGAAGAAATTCATTTCGAAATGCAAAATATTCGAAATTTTTTTCGAGATTCAAAAGTATTTTAAAATGGCTAAATTTATTAATTGCAAAATTAATTTTGGAAAGATAAATGACAAGGAAAAGAGAATAATAATTGCTGACTATGAGAAAGAAAACTAACTAGGAATTTTTTTTTTTTTTCGAAAAGAATTAATTTCAAAACGAAAAAAAGAAAACAACGGGTAAGTTCTATGATGTTCGATGATTTGTAAGCCTTGTCCTATTGTGCCATGTGTTGCGCGGGTAGGGGAGGGAGCGCGAAGCAGGTGGGGAAAGAAACACGCGGGGTATATAGTAGGGGCG